TATTTTACAGCGAAAAACGACAAAGACAATAAGTACTAAGACTACGGTCGACTGCCCGCAGTCCACCATAGTCTCGGAGACTACACCCAGTGGGTGCACTTTGCGTGCCCCCACCGGTTCTGATCCCACTCGACCGGCCTGCCGGAGTCGAGTGCAGGGAGTAAAAAAAGTGGAGAGAAAGTAGAACTCAGACCACAGTCGACTACCAGCAGTCGACCGCGGTCTCGGGGACTACACCCAGTGGGTGCACTTGGCGTGCCCCCACCGGTTCTGATCCCACTCGACCAGATCGAGTGGAAGAGACAAACTACCAGTTCAGTTTACACTCGACAAAATACAAAAACTACAGTCGACTGCCAGCAGTCCACCGTAGTCTCGGGGACTACACCCAGTGGGTGCACTCAGCGTGCCCCCACTAGTTCAAAAATTCAATCGACGCACCCAGTGGGTGTACAGATGCAAAGATTTTCGGAAAGAGTCTTCAGATAGCATATCCTAACAGAACAAGCGGTGACCAACTAACCTGAACGTTGCTCTGGAGAGCCGAGCAGGCATCGTAGGCGGCTTGGCTGGCGTCCCGCACCGTCTTCATCTTCTCCATCATAATGCCCGCTTGACGTATGGCTTCCCTGGCAGCATTCACCTCGTCCTCTGGGACATGATGGGTCGCAAAAACTGAAGGCGGGTCGACAGGGGCCTGAGCAGTCGGCGAGGAAGGCAAGGCACTCGACAGTGGCACAGCGAAGGTAACAGAACTCCGATTGGCATCGCTAGCGTCCTGAACGACTGGCTCCGCCCTCGGCGTCGATTATGGCACCTCGCTCGCAGGAGCTTGCCTATTTTTCCTCGTCAAAGGCCTCTCGGGCTCTTCATCATCATCATCAGGGAGGTCAATAATGTTAGGGGCTGTTCAAAGTTCAATCGACAAAATCACATCACACAATGGTACACATCGCAGTTGAATCGACCAAAATAAAGACAGTATGGCAGAAATCATACCCAGATTAGAAGTGACCGCATCCTCCATCACCTCATCATCGTCCTTGTAAGCTGAGGTCCCGAAAGTAGCAGCGCTGACGGTTCCAAAGTTCGTCCGGTTAAAACAAGAAAAACAAACAGCACAGAGCGTCGAGTAAATATGAAGGGAGACACTCACGCGGAAGCGATGGGGATGTCAATCTTAATCTTCGGCAATGCCTTCCGAAGCTTCGGCTCTGCGACTTTGGGATGCTTTGACGCTTTTTCAGTCGGAGTTGGCGAAGAGGTCCGAGGACGCTTTGAAGACTGACCAGCTTGAGCAATCGCCATTTCACGGGCGCTCAGTCGTTCTTGGTCAAGTTTGGACCGCCTCTCCCTGCGAGGAGGCGACTCGACTTCTTCTTCCTCACTTGGATCGTCGCTTTCTTCGTCCCCTCCACCGTCAGAATCCCATTCGCCACTGTCGCTGCCGCTCGCCTCTCCTTCCGGGTCCTGCTCTTGCTCTCCGTTGGGCATTGAATACATTTCAATAATGGCCTGAAAGAAAGCAGGAAGAACAAAGTCAGTCGACTCAGTATAGACAACTGCGCGAGTGAATTCGGATTACAAACAAAAGCTTAGAATCGGACCTTCTCTGGTACATGAGACTGGTCGAATGGAGGAACTCTCCTGGCTCCCCTGGGGTTGTCCTTGTTCCCGGTCATGCCCGACAGCCACTTCTCCAGTGTGTCGTCATCGACCTCCTTCGGGTGAATCCGAGTGGAGTCTTCAAGACCCGAATACATCCACATCGGATGGTCTCGGGCTTGAAGAGGCTGGATGCGCCGCTGAAGGAAGACCTCCAAGAGATCCATACCGGTGACCCCGTCACGGATAAGCTGGACCACTCGCTCTACCAGCACCCTCACCTGCGCCTTCTCCTCCGGGAAAACCTTCAAAGGGGAGGGTTTCCTCACTCGGTCCATGGAGAAAGGAGGGAGGCCAGTCGACTGCCTTGGCGTCGACTGGTCTTTGCAGTAAAACCAGGTCGACTGCCATCCGTGAACTGAGTCGAGAAGAATCATGGCCGGAAAGGAGCTTTTCCCTCTCATCTGGACACCAAGACCCCCACACATCTGAATCACTTGAGTCCTCTCGTCACTCGGATTAGACTTTTTCACCGTCTGAGAGCGACAAGTGAAAATGTGCTTGAAAAGGCCCCAGTGAGGTCGACAACCCAGGAAATTCTCACACAAAGAAACAAAAGCGGCGAGATAAACGATTGTGTTGGGAGTGAAGTGGTGGAGTTGTGCCCCAAAGAAGTTCAGAAATCCCCGAAAGAAAGGGTGAGGAGGCAAGGAAAATCCACGGTCGACGTCGGTGGCAAGGAGAACGCGCTCATCCTCCCGAGGTTGTGGCTCGGATTCCTTCCCCGGAAGCAGCGCCGATTCATAGGGGATCAGCCCTCCTTCGGCTAGGTCGTCGAGGTCTTCTTGGGTGATCGTTGAGCGGATCCAGTCGTCCTGGATCCAGCCCTTCGGCAGGCCGGTTCGCGAGGAGGATCCGCCCCGACTGGTCGCCTTCCCCTTCGACCTCGTCGTCGCCTTCTTCGCCCGCTCTAGAGCCGCCGTCTTCTCCTTCCCCATCGTCGCCGGCGAAACGCGTACGGAGCGGTGGTGCTGGGAGAGAGCGAGCGCGGCGAGGGAGCGTGAAAAGGAGAAGAGATAATGGGGACGCACTGTTCGAAGAGACCCCGGTCCGACGCCTTATATGAGGCCGCTTCCAAGTGGCTGACTGGTAGGCCCGGGCGGCCCTGTCAAATCCCGTAACAATCGCGCGCGCGATACATGGTGAAAAAGGTGGCGCGGGGATCGAGGCGGCTCCGCTCTATCCCATCCGATTACTACGGCCTCCCCCGTCCCGCGCGCTTCCCAAAATTCGGATCCCGCGAAATGTGCGGGCAGCAGAACAACTTGTCAGACCGAAGATCTCCCCCGCACCATCACTCGGAGCCTTTCAAGTAAAGAAACTCACTCGACAAAAAGCTAAGAATTGATCAAGGCGACTGAAAAGGAAGTTGCTGTCATCACTCAGGTTCATTGATCCGAAACCAGATATGCTCATGGCATGAAAAATGAGTCGGGAAAATTCTCAACTCCTTCCCCACTCAAACCTCGATCCATTCGGGGGCTAATGACGAAGTTATGTACCTAGGGTAGGGTCATGGACCTGTCCAAACTGCCCTACCCAAGGACATCTCAAAAAGAAATCACCTTTCAATGGACTTGGAGGTGTTTCACTCGACAGACTCGAAGACACTCGACCAAGAAGCGATCACTCGACCAAGACCAAACCACTCGATGGCCAGGAGACCTAAAGGTACTCCACATGCTAACGGTCGGTTATTAAGTAGCCTTTATGGTCATCATAGCACTTTATTAGGGGCATTATCAGTAACGCCCGACCTTAATGTATTTAAAACCCTGCATAACTGAGGGCCGGAGCGGTCCGGTGAACTCTATATAAGCCACCCCCTCCTCAGTGTAAAGGATTCGCACCCCTGTAAACCATACACACATAATCCAGTCGACCGCCTCCGGGCTCCGAGACGTAGGGCTATTACTTCCTCCGAGAAGGGTCTGAACTCTTAAACCTCGTGTGCTTACAACTTCTCCATAGCTAAGATCTTGCCTCTTCATACTTACCCCCTACATTACTGTCAGACTTAGAACTACGACAAGCGGGTTGTACCACCTCGTCGGGCCGTTCGAAATGGACCAAGCAGCAGACACGGACGCGTTCGCTGGGGTTTTGCATCATAATGCAGGACGTCCAGTGCCAGGAGCAATACGACATGGCCGGCCCGGCAGGCACCGCGATGGTGTCGGTGGTGTTCCGCGCCCGGTCCCCATGGGAGGACTGGAGCACGGCGAGGTCGCGGTCGGGGCTGAGCGGGAAGACGCTGTAGGCCGAGGGAGTCCGGAACACATCGACAGGGCAGGCCTGCATGGTGACATGCCGCGGCATCGCGGGCAAGAGGGCGTGCAACTTCCGGGTGTGCCTCTTCTTCCTGACGACCATGTCCCTGAGCTACCCCAAGAGAGATGGCGCTGGCAATGACACGAGGAGCCTGTCCAGCCTTGCTGACAGGCTCACTCTCTGGCAATGGCAGGAATGGATTGAGCTTCTGATCCTTCACTTGGAGGTCTTCTCCCTCGAGCAGCTCATCGACCGCTACTCACCCCCGCGACACGGAGATGGCATGCCAACAAAAGAGCCTGGAACGGAGGGGCGCATCTTACTCAATGTGTCGGCCGAGCTCACCATTTATGAGAATCGTTAGCCTCGAAAATCGGTGATGTCTCTGGAAGGCGTGTACTAAAATCCAGACGACGGCCGGATGCACCTGATCGGCTGCCGAGATGTCCGGCTCCCACCGCAGAACTCGTCGAGGAGCAGAGACCTCCGACTCTGAAGAAGGAATGGACTGCTCCATCGAGGTGAAAGTCGAGTACCCAACAACGACGATGAACTGGTTCTGGCTCAATATGTCGGCGGCGAAGGTTCAGATAGCAAGCACGAGGACGGCCACTGACCCGCTGTATTTCGGCGTGGTGAAGCTCAGGGCTCTGCCTGTCCTCTACCCGAAGCACCTGCCGGATGGGATTTACCATGGAACCGTCAATGGCATCCTCTGCATTGTGCTGCTGACGGCCACCATCGCCCTTGATCATGACAGTTGACAACTAGAAGTAAGAAAACACTCTGCATATATCCTTGTGAAGCCTATGTGCAGATGCAGGTTAGGCCAATACCTTGTGTTGTTCGTTTTTTGTTGTCGATGTGAACAAATACTCCATGGGAATGATATGGTGCCATGCAAATCCGACGCGCAGCGGGCCTGAACTGCCCGCCAAGTCGAACTTCTCCCGCCAGCAGACGGTGCCGTGCGCAGACCTGAATTCCCCTCCGAATCGAACTCCCTGGGCGGACCTGAATTCCCCGCCAGATCCAACTTCTCTCTCAAGCAGACCTGACTATTTATGCACAACAAGGCCCCCCACCCCATCCTGTACCGTACTCCCAATTCGCCGGCCAACAGATCTGCAGCCATGGAGAAGCAGAAGCTGCGCCGTCTCGTGCGAGGACCACGTAGGGCCGCCGGCGAGCTGACCGCCCTCATAGTGGGCAGGCTGGACACCCGCACCGCGCTCTCCACCGCCGTCCTCGCTAGGCGCTGGGCGCGTGTTCCTCGTGACCTGCCCGCTCTCGACTTCAGGGTCAGCGACATACTCCCGCCAGAGTACGATCAGGCCGTCGCTCTCCGCGAGGACAACCTGCCGCCTGACCCGGCCATGGCCGGGATGCTCGACGGTTTCCTGGCGCGCTGCGAGATGGGCAGCACGAGGGCGTTGGCCGACGGAGTCACCAGCTTCTTGGCAGCCGACTGTGACGGCGACGCACGTCGCCGCGTCAAGACCCTCCGGCTCGAGTTCTTCCCCACGGATCACGGCGGCATCATCGAGCATCTGATCGCCGCCGCTGTCGGCTCGTGGGGCGTGGAAGATCTGGAGATGGTCGTCAGACCAGCGTCCGGCCATCATGATGGGCCCGCCTACCCCTTCCCCGACGACTGCCTCGGCGACGGCGGCAGGTCGCGCCTGCGCAGCCTGGCGCTGGGCAACACCACGCTCCCGCCGCTGCACAGCTACGAGGCGCTCACCACGCTCGTCTTGCAAGGCGTGGCCGCGTCCACGCCCGTCGCCGTCTACGAGAGGCTGTTCAGCGACCTCACACGGCTTCAGGTGCTGCATCTCATATCATGCAGCTGCACGGCGGACCTCGACCATCTGGTGGTCGACGCACCGGGTTCAGCCATGAGGGAGCTCGTCGTGGAAGAATGCGCGTTCTCAAGGATCACGGTGCGCGCCCTCCCAATGCTCGCCCGCCTGGCGTGCATAGGCACGACCGTGGTGCTCAGGCTCGACTCCGTTCCGAACCTCACGCAGGTGAACCTCACATTCTGGGGGAGCAAGAAGCCCTCGAACTTCCTCGGGAAGGCCCCAGCAGGGACGACGAGCCTCGTCCTCCGGTTCACCAGGCCAAGTAGATGGGTGGTGCCGATGCACCTGGCCACGCCGTTCCTCGGCCTGAAGAGGCTCCTCGTCGCCGACCTGCCTTCCAACTGGGACGTCTCGTGGCCGCGCATGCTCGTGCTTGCCGCGCGGTCGCTCGAGGTCCTGCACAGCCATGTGGCTCACTCCGACGAGAAGCAGGGAGAGGAGATAGCGTGGTGGCTCTGGCCGAGACCGAAGCGGAAGCTGCGGCATCGGAACATGAAGGAGGTGGTCATGATTGGATTCACGCAGACATCACGCCAGATAAAGTTCCTGAGGGATCTTGTGAGGATGTGCAGATCTTTACAACGCGTTGTTCTGCTCAGGGATGGCCAAGTGCAGTACAATGGACTCTGGGATTGGAAGATGGTCGGCCAGCCAGAATGTCCATGGAGCACTCATGATAAAATGGCTGTAACGAAAATGATCGAGCCTGCGTCCAGGCCTCTGGTCGATGTAATCTTGGGATGATCAATTTATTTGTTTCTAGTTATTGATGATAGTTGTTGGAAAAGCCTAGGGTTCTGTTGACTTATAAGAAAGTGCGATATATGTACTCCAAATTTTAACCTCAAATGGTCACCAATAACTAGAAGCTCTGACTAACCTTGAACTTCAAATCCGTCCAATTTGCAACTCTAAATTCTCAAAACCGTATAACTTACAACTCTGACTCCCCTTAAACCTGTTTTTGGCCAGTTTTTTTTATTGGTACGCGACATGTCAGCCCCCTCTCTCTGTTTGTTCTTCCCACCCCCGACTCGCATCTCTCCCAACCCCCGGCGGCGACCGGCGGCACCGCCACCAGATGCCCCCGACGCGGCTATCCAGCGGTGGCTGAGGAGCACAACATTGTCGTGGGCGGTGAGCGCGGCGACAGATGTGTGGAGGTAGCTTGCCTCACGCGGCGCCATGAGGTGACACCAGCAGACATGGTCGAGTTGTGGGAACTGCCCGGCATCCAGCGGGCCACCCCGTGACAGTGGCCGAAGTTGTTCTCCCTCACGAGTCACTTCAGGCGCACGTCCTCCTCCGCTATCCACCTAGGCCGTGGCCTTAGGAGCACGGTGGACAATGCTCGATCTCCACGGCGGTAAAGACACATGTGTGTGCGCCTCCGAGAGGAAGCGGACATTGATGAGTCGTTGAAGCCTTTCTCACTGGCGAGCCACTCAAGGTGCGCATACTTGGTCGCCGCCAACTAGTGGCCACGGCTGGGGGCAACAGGAATTTGAATGGCCACGGCTGGGCATGGTGCCAGATTTGCAGAAGAAGGGGTTGTGGGAGATCGTGCGATCGCTCGGGACATGATTGGTGTTGGGAAACGTAGTAAAAAAATCATCATACGATCAAACCAGGAACACTATGAAGATGCATTAACGGTTTAGATCGGGTCGTTACCAACTCCAAGTTGCAGCGGAATAAGAGTCGGTGTAGTCCATCGAACCTTCATGAACGATACCTCGAACTGAAGACCGAAAGCACGACCTCTCCACAGTTTGCAAGCATACGATCTTCACAGTCCGGCAGCGCTTCACTGTTGAGAGCTAATCGATGCCGGAGAATTAGAGGAAGAAGATTAGAACCACACTGGACTTTTAATTATGAGGACTAGAGAGGATTAGATCTAGCTCTAATTGGATCAACTAGAACTAGAACTAGAGAGCTAGAGGAGGCTCCAAAACTTGTGTGTCTGAAGGGTCAAAATATCTAGTATATATAGGTTGGAGGAGAGAGAGGGGGTCCCAAAAGGAGGGGAAGGAGGACTCTGAAGGAAATATGCCCTAGAGGCGACAATAAAGTTGTTATTTTATATTTTCTTATATCATGATAAATGTTTATTATTCATGCTAGAATTGTATTAATCAGAAACTTGATACATGTGTGGATACATAGATAAAACACCGTGTCCCTAATAAGCCTCTACTAGACTAGCTCGTTAATCAAAGAAGGTTAAGTTTCCTAATCATAGACATGTGTTGTCATCTGATCAACGGGATCACATCATTAGAAGAATGATGTGATGGACAAGACCCATCAGTTAGCTTAGCATATTGATCGTTCAGTTTTATTGCTATTGCTTTCATCATGTCATATATGTTGGGGAACGTAGTAATTTCAAAATTTTCCTACGCACACGCAAGATCATGGTGATGCATAGCAACGAGAAGGGAAGAGTGTTGTTCATGTACCCTCGTAGACCGTAAGCGGAAGCGTCATGACAACGCAGTTGATGTAGTCGTATGTCTTCACGATCGACCGATCCTAGTTCCGAAAGTAAGACACCTCCGCGATCTGCACTCATTTAGCTCGGTGATGTCCCACGAACTCTCGATCCAGCTGAGTGTCGAGGGAGAGTTTCCTCAGCACGACGGCGTGATGATGCTACCGTCGCAGGGCTTCGCGTAAGCACTATGATGATATGACCGAGGTGGATTATGGTGGAGGAGGGCACCGCACACGGCTAAGGGATCAATGATCAACTTGTGTGTCTTGGGGTGCCCCCTGCCCCCATATATAAAGGAGCAAGGAGGGAGACCGGCCGGCCCTTGCAGGGCGCGCCAGAAGGAGGAGTCCTCCTCCTAGTAGGAGTAGGACTCCCCTTTCCTACTCCTTCTAGGAGGAGGAAAGGAAGGAGGAGAGGGAGAATGAAGGAGAGGGAGGAAAGGAGGAAAGGGGGGCAGGCCCCCTAGTCCAATTCGGTTTGGGCTAGGGGGGGGCGTGCGCCCTGCCTTGTCCTGCCACCTCTCTTCCATCACTTGGCCCGTGAGGCCCAATACTTCTTCCCCCGTATTCCCGTAACTCCTCGGTACTCCGAAAAATACCCGAATCACTCTGAACCTTTCCGATGCCCGAATATAGTCGTCCAATGTATCAATCTTTATGTCTCGACCATTTCGAGACTCCTAGTCATGTCTCCGACCTCATCCGGGACTCCGAACTACCTTCGGTACATCAGAACACATAGACTCATAATATTGATCGTCACTGAACGTTAAGCGTGCGGACCCTACGGGTTCGAGAACTATGTAGACATGACCGAGACACGTCTCCGGTCAATAACCAATAGCGGAACCTGGATGCTCATATTGGCTCCCACATATTCTACGAAGATTTTTATCGGTCAAACCGCATAACAACATACGTTGTTCCCTTTGTCATCGGTATGTTACTTGCCCGAGATTCGATCGTCGGTATCTCAATACCTAGTTTAATCTCGTTACCGGCAAGTCTCTTTACTCGTTCCGTAATACATCATCCCACAACTAACTCATTAGTTACAATATTTGCAAGGCTTATAGTGATGTGCATTACCGAGAGGGCCCAGAGATACCTCTCCGACAATCGAAGTGACAAATTCTAATCTCGATCTATGCCAAATTAACAAGTACCATCGGATGCACCTATAGGGCACCTTTATAATCACCTAGTTACGTTGTGACGTTTGGTAGCACACAAAGTGTTCCTCAGGTATTCGGGAGTTGCATAATCTCATAGTCATAGGAACATGTAAAGTCATGAAGAAAGCAATAGCAATATACTAAACGATCAGATGCTAAGCTAACGGAATGGGTCAAGTCAATCACATCATTCTCTAATGATGTGATCCCGTTAATCAAATGACAACTCATGTCTATGGCTAGGAAACTTAACCATCTTTGATTCAACGAGCTAGTCAAGTAGAGGCATACTAGTGACACTATGTTTGTCTATGTATTCACACATGTACTAAGTTTCCGGTTAATACAATTCTAGCATGAATAATAAACATTCATCATGATATAAGGAAATAAATAATAACTTTATTATTGCCTCTAGGGCATATTTCCTTCAGTCTCCCACTTGCACTAGAGTCAATAATCTAGTTCACATCTTTATGTGATTAGTTCACATCTCCATGTGACTAATACCCAAAGGGCTTACTAGAGTCCATAATCTAGTTCACATCGCTATGTGATTAACACCCAAAGAGTGATCATGTTTTGCTTGTGAGAGAAGTTTAGTCTACGGGTCTGCAACATTCAGATCCGTATGTATTTCACAAATTTCTATGTCTACAATGCTCTGCACGGAGCTACTCTAGCTAATTGCTCCCACTTTCAATATGTATCTAGATCGATACTTAGAGTCATCTAGATCGATGTAAAAAGCTTGCATCAACGTAACTCTTTACGACGAACTCTTTTATCACCTCCATAACCGAGAAATATTTCCTTAGTCCTCTAAGGATAATATTGACCGCTGTCTAGTGATCTACTCCTAGATCACTATTGTACTCCCTTGCCAGAATCATGCTAAGGTATACAATAGGACTGGTAAACAACATAGCATACTTTATAGAACCTATGACTGAGGCATAGGGAATGACTTTTTATTCTCTTTCTATTTTTTGCTGTGGTCGGGTTTTGAGTCTTTACTCAAATTCACACCTTGCAACACAGGCAAGAACTCCTTCTTTGACTGTTCCATTTTGAACTACTTCAAAATCTTGCTAAGGTATGTACTCATTGAAAAAACTTATCAAGCATCTTGATCTATCTCTATAGATCTTGATGCTCAATGTGTAAGCAGCTTCATCGAGGTCTTTCTTTGAAAAACTCTCTTCAAACACTCCTTTATGCTTTCCAAAAAATTCTACATTATTTCCGATCAACAATATGTCATTCACATATACTTATCAGAAATGATGTAGTGCTCCCACTCACTTTCTTGTAAATACAGGCTTCACCGCAAGTCTGTATAAAACCATATTTTTTGATCACTTTAACAAAGCATATATTCCAACTCCGAGATGCTTGCACCAGTCCATAGATGGATCGCCAGAGCTTGCTCACTTTGTTAGCACCTTTAGGATCGACAAAACCTTCTGGTTGCATCATATACAACTCTTCTGTAAGAAATCCATTAAGGAATGCAGTTTTGACATCCATTTTCCAGATTTCATAAAATGCGGCAACTGCTAACATGATTCGGACAGACTTTTAAGCATCGATACGAGTGAGAAAATCTCATTGTAGTCAACACCTTGAACTTGTCGAAAACATTTTGCGACAATTCAAGCTTTGTAGATAGTAGCACTACTATCAGTGTCCGTCTTCCTCTTGAAGATCCATTTATTCTCAATGACTCACCGATCATCGGGCAAGTCAATCAAAGTCCATACTTTGTTCTCATACATGGATCCCATCTCAGATTTCATGGCCTCAAGCCATTTCGCGGAATCTAGGCTCATCATCGCTTCCTCATAGTTGTTGGAAATATGCCCTAGAGGCAATAATAAAAGCATTATTATTATATTTCCTTGTTCATGATAATTGTCTTTATTCATGCTATAATTGTGTTATCCGGAAATCGTAATACATGTGTGAATAACAGACACCAACATGTCCCTAGTGAGCCTCTAGTTGACTAGCTCGTTGATCAACAGATAGTCATGGTTTCCTGACTATGGACACTGGATGTCATTGATA